AACCGGAATTACGGTGAGGTCAACTACTACCTAACACTGATGTTGTCAGGACATGGCTGCTTTTGGGCTTATCTTCACCGCTTTAGGCATGACGACTCTTCGGAGTGCCCGTCCTGCCCTGGAGCCGCTGAAGATGCAGAGCACGTTTTTTTCGAGTGTTCGCGTTTCAATTAACAACGTGAGGAGCTGGAGAAGATCCTGAAGAAGACAATTCAACCAGAGTCAATCGTAGAAGCAATGCTGTCTTCAGAAGCTGCCTGGAATGCAACGAACACTTTTGCCACAGAAGTGCTTACAGAGCTGCGTTCCATCGAGAGAAAAAGAGCAAAAGACAGAACCTAGAAGGAAGAAAACATCTTAGCCACCAGAAAGAAGAGCGGCAGCTAATTCCTCCCCCCGCGAAGAAATGCCTTACGGCGGTACCATGGGGGATCAGAGGATAGAAGAGAAAGGGGTTTAGGGTTTAGTGGGTAGGGACGTCAGCGTCAAGTTTTAGTATGACGCTGCCTCGAGTCGCCACATATCCGGGCCAACATCTATGCCTAGAATCCGTAAAAAGGATTCCCCCCCCCCTAAAGGGAAAAAAAACACACACACACACACACGGGCATACGGACACCATCGTGGAAACATTCAGGGAAGCTTCTTAAGACCTCAAAACGTCAACATCCGTTGAAAACTCGATTTTCAAAACACGAGGTTAAACCAATAACTTCCCAACTTCAGAAAAGTTTCAATTTTCTAAGCGGGAAGTTAAAAAAAAAAATACTTAATTCGAATTTTTCAGGCATTGATGTCTCTTGAACGAATTAAACGATGTTGATGCGATTCGCGGCTATTGACGCAGATATTCGAGTAGAAAAATAGTCCCATTTCGCACTGTTGTAGGTGTTCTTTACGTCAAGCGTAAGGACGATGCATACTTTGCGAGTTTTAAGATTACCAGACTACACTTCGGTTATTGTGTCTTTGATCTTCTTAATCGCGCCAATCGTCAATCGGCCTTTCCGAAAGCCGTGTTAATTTTCAGCAAAGCCACCAGCACAGTCAATGTCATTTTGAAGTCTTCCTTGTATCAGCTTTTCGAGTATGTTTCCCGTGATATCTAGCATGCAGAGTGGTCTGAACGGCGAAGGTGTTAAGGGGGTTCTTTTCCCTTTGTCCAGGAGAACCAGTCTATGGCGTTTCAAGATGGTGGGAAACGTGCCGGTTACAAGGCACGCATTGTAGGCATTCAGCATTAGGTCCAGGAATTCCTGGTCTATGATCTTATTCACCGACGTTAGGATGCCGTCGGGACCGGATGCTTTTCCTAATTTGAAGGACTTAGCTGCGTCCTGCAGTTCCTTCGTTGTGAAAGGTGCGGCTTCATCATTGATCTCAAAGTGCCTCCTTTCTCGCAGCGAGTGTTTGGGAAACAGCTCTGCTACAATGTTGTTCATTATGGCAGAAGGTTTTGGTGGCTTCTGATGTGGCCTTCCCAAATTTCTTGACAACGATTTGGTAGGCTTTGCCCCAGACATCCTTCTTGAGGTCGTTGCAGATTTCTTTCCACAACGTCGGTTTACTTACCTTGATGGTTTAGTTTAACTCCTTTTTGGCTTTCTTTTACTCGCTTGTGTATATATCTAGGTCAGCGGTGTGTTTTGCGGCTCTTGCTATTCGACAGCGAAGTTTATGGCATCTTATCCGGAGGTCTGCGATCTCAGGCGTCCACCAGTATGCCGGCCTGTACAGGCCTCGATTTTTGGATCGTGGTATAGATTTATTACAAAAGGTGGTGATTAGGGTGTTTCAAAAAAAGACGATTTTTTTTTCTTTTGGTGTCTAAAAATTGATAGTATACCTAAAAACAAAAATTTTGGCGCCCATGTGAGCTCTTAATATCAATAGTAAGATTTGCCTGTATCCATTTCTTTATTTTCCATTTAAATAACACGGGAAAAATTTTTTTTACTTTTTATTACTTTGGAACGGTTCATCATAACAACAATCTTAAAAATGATATTTGTAGGAAATTTTACGCTCTACAAAAAACATCTGAAGACCAAAGTTCCTCAGATTAACGGCTTCAAAGATATCCGCGGTCAAAGATAACACTAATAAAAAATTTCAAATATTTTCCAATAAAACTACAAAAAAAATATCATATGCTATATTTTTATTATTTTTTATGTAAAATTACTTTAATTCCGTTAACCTGAGACTGTAAACTTTTTTTTTACTAATTAATTCAATACTTAACTCACGAAATGCACTAATATATAAATATAAACGTTAAAAATATCTTATAAATGATTTTTTGGTCTCTTTTATAACAAATTTATTTTTTTCTTTACTAAATATTAAGAAATTTAATTGAACAATTAATTCTTTATAACAAAAAACTATATTTACAACTTGTTACAACAATTTTTCAACTTGAAAATATTACAGTTTTATAAAATTACTTTTATTGCAATTAGGATATTGTTTTCTATGTTTTGTCACTACTTGCAACAAATATTGAAGCTGTTCTTCATCTTTCGTTAAGCATCGATTATACTGCTCTATCAATGCCACGCCGCGTTCTGCTACATCATTCACAACTTGAAGTTTCCCGAAATACTCCAAGTTTTCTAAGAAATTCTGATTCTGAGCCCACAAAGTAACATCCTCATCAATGAACTCATACGACAAATCAAATGATTCAAATATATTAATCGATCTCATAGACACAAATTGACTAAGATCTTTATTTAATAATGACTCTAAATTTTTCTTATCTATTATAAAGCGATTTGTTATAGTTTCATTGGCTTTACAGTTTTTAAGAGCATGAACTATTCTTTTTTTTGTTCCAACTGAAACATTTTTATCAAAGAGAGATAAAACAGACAGCTCGTTGTTTAAATACCACAAGTGATCGGCTAATTTTTGTGAGCATGTCTGTGAAAGATTATTATTAAATCTTTCATATGAAATTAATTCTTTAATCAAAGTTAAATCATTATTAGGTGCTGTTATAGCACACGGCGCAGTAAACCAAGCTTTTAAATAGAATATTATGATAAATAAACAAAGTTCTCGTAATCCATCTATTTCCGATTTAGTAAGATGAAATTCATTTCTGAATAAAAAAATTTTTAAACTATATAATGCTTGAGCCATCCACCTTGCATGATTGACCGCTCCAGGATGCTTAAATGTAATATTTGTGGTAGTAGTACCCAAAAATATTAATGATAATTCCAGAAGTTCACGGTAATCGTCTCGACAATGATCCATATACAAAAAAGTTAAGTCAAAATGAAATTGATTATATCGCAATTTCAAAGTTAAGAAGACTAATTATTATTAACTGATGTGAGGTAAAAGTTGTAAAATATTTTACAAACGCAATTTTAATCGTTAAAGATAATTGAAAGTATAACAGTCATGTGAAACTGATTTTCAATATTTTTAATCACGACGGCAAGTTAATTAATCAGAGTAAAATTGATAATTATACTGAACTTTATACATTTTTCTCTTCCACTTTAACATCAGTTAATAATTCTTCAGCGCTGGATTAAAAAATTTTACTTCTATTTGATTATTAACAATTTCAAAATCTCATCTTTGATTGGTGTTATTACTTCCAAAACTTTTTTGTCACAAATACCAGCCGTAAAGTTTGATTGGTCAATTTCATCCCACTTTTTTTTAAATCTCTGATAAATTGGAACGTTTGGGCCAGACGAAGCAGGCCAGTATACTTCAAATGCACTTCGAAGAACAATTTCAAAAATATGATGTCGGCATGTCAAGTACAACAGTTTTCTACTAAGAGCCTTTTCTACTAATACACACGCACCATTTCTGATTCCTGAAAAAATAAAATGAGAATTGCTAGTGAAGTATCGATTTTTTAGAGTAGTACGGAGAAATCTTTTCAATTTGAAAAAAAAAATAACTCATAACTTGAAAATTAATGGTTAATACTAAAAATCTGATTCGATTTAGCATTTAAACATTACGATAATCAACCATGTTATATTTTTTTTATTAATAAGTTATTTACCCGTATTTGACGCCGTAGTATCAGAACACAATGCTTTGATGTTGTCAGTATTAATATCCCATTGTTTTACTGTTTTAATAATAGCTGAAGCTTGATTTTGTCCAGTCCCAGATTCTAGTTTAGGAACTCCTAACGGTTGAAATTTACCTGATGATGATAAAATAATCGGAAGCCGGTCAACTTGTTCTGTACCTGTAATATCTGATAACAGTTTTCCATCAAAATGTAGTACATAATTAATTGTCAGTTTCCAGATTAGTCTTCAGATTTAACGCCGCTTCTTTCCGTAATTTTTCCCTTGCTCGGTGAATAGTCACATGACTAAAGTTTACGCTTGCACAATCAATATTCAAGCTAGATAATAAATCAGCAATAATGTAAGTCGCCATCCTACTAGTCACGTTAGCTCTATCCAAAGCCGCAGCAAGTTCTGGTGTCATTATATCAATTTTTGAAACTTGTCCAGTATATTTAAAACATCCGAATGAGCTACATCAAATAGTTTATTTAATTCATCCTGAAAAACGGATTCCTTTTTTTTTTTGACACTTTGACTTTTTCATTTTACGGTTTTTTTGTAAATTCTTCCATCGATTGTGATTTGAGGTTAGTTTCAAAAAAGCAGATCTTTTCTCTCTTGTCGGGATTTGTACCGCACACCAAATTTCAAAAACTTTGTCGATAGTAATTGATATACTTTCTTTAACTGAAAAATTTTTCGTATCAAGATAATAAAATAAATGCGACATAACTTCTTTCAGAGAGGGTAATTTTTTTCCAACTAATTCACTTAACACATCACCAATCAAGTACACTGTTTTCATCATTATGGTCACAAAATTTATAACTAATATATTTCAACTAATTAAATTAATAATATAACGGATTAAAAAAACAGTCAGTATCAATGAACAAAGACAATGACGAGAAGATATAGTAAAGCGTTGAGAGCAAAGCAACTAAATGAAGTTAATACCGAACAACCAGTCTTACCAACACAGAGCTTATTAGCTACAACACTCAAATTAAATGAGTATAATACTATGTACCGACAGAGCTAAATAAAGCTCTGTTGATATTTTTCAAATAAAAAAAAATTGATCAAGTTTTATAGTAGATTTAATTGATTTAACGTATTCACAGAATTTTCATATTATTTTGAATAATATGCAAGGATGAGTGTTTGGTGAGTTTGTGTAATAAAGAACTTTACATTTTCCTCTTACAAAAATTTATAAATTTTATAAAATATAAAATAAATTTGTTATAAGAAAGACCAAAAAATCATTTATGTGACATTTTTAACGTTTATATTTATATCTTAGTGCATTTCGTGAGTTAAGTATTGAATTAATTAGTAAAAAAAAAAAGTTTACAGTCTCAGGTTAACAGAATTAAAGTAATTTTACATAAAAAATAATAAAAATATAGCATATGATATTTTTGTAGTTTTATTGGAAAATATTTGAAATTTTTTATTAGTGTTATCTTTGACCGCGGATATCTTTGAAGCCGTTAATCTGAGGAACTTTAGTCTTTAGACGTTTTTTGTAGAGCGTAAAATTTCCTACAAATATCATTTTTCAGATTGTTGTTACGATGAACCGTTCCAAGGTAATAAAAATTAAAAAATTAAAAAAAATTTTTCCCGTGTTATTTAAATGGAAAATAAAGAAATGGATACAGGCAAATCTTACTATTGATATTAAGAGCTCACATGGGCGCCAAAATTTTTGTTTTTAGGTATACTATCAATTTTTAGACACCAAAAGAAAAAAAAAATTCGTCTTTTTTTGAAACACCCTAGTGGTGATGGTATTTATCGTTGTCACCACCATTCTTTCCGTCTCGCTTCTGGTGTTGGGAATCGAATGGAGTTTAAGGGTTGACCAGCTTCGTGAAAGGGACGTTCGGAGAGCTTCTGGGTCAAGCTTTCTGGCGTTCCACCTTTGTTCTGTAGAACCTTGCTACGTTGCTGGAGTGAGAGCCTCTTCAACACTGAATGTGATGTGTAGGCGGTCGCTACCACTGTACTCTTCAGAGACTGTCCAATTCTCTATCTTGCTAGCAATTTTTGGGGTACCCAGTAAGATATCGAAGATATACTCATGATGCCCTGGTCTTCTGAAGGTGGAGGTGTTTCCGGTGTTCAGTACTGTGAGGTCGAGCCTAGCAGCAAAGTCTGTTACTTCATTTCCTCTGGTGTCCGAAAAATCTGCTTCCCATTCAGCAGATTTGGCGTTGAAGTTGCCAGCTACAAATGATTTTGCCAGTGAATGCGCTGATAGTTTTTTCAATGTTAGCCAGCTTTTGGCGAAACACGCTCATCCCTTCATTAGGTGAAAGGTAGCCGCTCATGTAATGGGTCTCCGGGGATTTCATCCAGACAAATCCTGCTCCACATCCATTGTTGATTGTGGTTACTGTGTGGGCTTACAATCCAGATCACTGCTGTATCGGCTTGATCCGTGAACCTAGTTCTACTTCGAAGGTTTGAGTGTTGCTCGCTGATGAAGCAGATGTCAATCTTGTCTTCGAAGACATGATGACGTAGTAGGTTCTGCGCGAGCACACACTTGTTAAGGTTTCCTTCGAGTATCAGCGTCATTTTCGTGCTTTTGTTGTTTCTATTAGTGCAGTATGGTATGCCTTGCAGACTTCTGAACCAGAAATGTGGCCCTGGTTATCCTTGGCATCCTTATCAGGAGTGCACAAGAAGCATTTCGGCTAATCAGTACAATCTACGGACTTGTGGTTTTCTCCACCACATTTGTAGCAGCACTTACTCCTATCCGGCCCTTTGCAGGAGCGTGTCATGTGTCCATATTCAAGACATCTGAAGCAACGAGTTACTCTCACGACCGGTTGAATGCGACAGTTGACCCATCTGATCTTGATGCGTGCCTTGTCCAGGGCTTTAGTTGCACTGGCTTCATCGAACTCACAGAAGGCTGTGTGTTGACCTCGCGAGATGATCTTCGTTAAGCTGATGCGTTTGATCTTCAGGTTGGTGATGAAGTCACGTTCAAGCGCTTCAGGAACGTCTTTTTCAGTAGCGACTTCATCCAGATCAAGGATTTCGATTGTTGTTGTAGGTGTGAGCATCTTAACTATACAAATACTCTTGGTGGATACCTTAACAGCCTCGGTGAAAACGCTGATTTGGTCTTGCGACCCATTTCCAGCAGTACACCCCCATTCTTCGTCTGTATGATTGGCTTGATGTCCACGCCGGTGTCTATAGGGTTTATTTTAGTTTTGATCTCTTTGAGGAGATCCGCGTAAGTTCGCCCTTCAGCTGGTTGGACGAGGAGTTTTGTTTGGGTAATCCCAAACAGACCCTAGTTCTAATGAACTAGGGTCTGTTTGTTATTTTTGTGCTTTAATCGATGAAGCTGCTGCGTCGTCAGGTGCATGTTTCTTTTTATTTTTATTCTGTGACACCTCAGTCCAAGTAGCGTCCTTGGCTGGTTTTTTCAGTGCTTGCGTGTCAGAAGCTGATGAAGGACTAGGCGTAGAAAGTGGCCGTTTCTTGTTGTTGTTTATCTCCTGCGGCGCTAGTTTACTGTTCTTAGAAGTTAGTGCCTCATGTTGTGGATTCATCCAAGAGGACGTTTGCGTGGATGACATTGCCTTATTTGATGTTTCCTTCAGAGCAGCGAGGAAGCTTTTACACGCCAGACTGTACGCTGTTTTGATGGACTTCACGAGTTTCTTTATCTCGTTATGTACATTGTATCTTAGTCCGACGGAATTGGCCAACTCATCAATCTTCGCTTCAAGTCTATCCACTGGTGTTTAGCGGTTAGTATTGGTGAGTACGGAGTTGATCCGTCTGCAGCCAAGGGCGTTGCTCATCGTTTTTTCAACGTCCATTTCGAACAAAAGGTCAACCTGGATCGTGGTGCCTCAGTAAGTAGCCGAGTGATCACTCTTACAACTACCGCCATGGCTGTAAGGGTCTTCAGCCATTAGAGCGGAAATATCCATCCGTCTCGACCTTGCACATTCTTCCATCATCGGCTATTTTTTGCTCCCATGGGTGCGGCGCATTGTTACCGGAAGTCCCGCGTGTACTGCGCTTTACAGATCATTCCGCACATCTCTTTCAAGGAGCATCACTGCACTCACTTGTTTACGTGGCCTTGTTTGTGGTCGAGATGGGATGACTAGCTCTTCGTGGCGAAGAAAAGTTTTGTCCGCGGAGGCTATTTTATTTCACCCCTACCCTCTGCTCCTATAAACAGCGAGCCTTCTCCTATCCACAGGTGACGACGCACCCGGTAGCAGTGTCTCGTCAGCCCCAGGGTGTAAAATATAATAATAGAAGGGGGGGGGGGCAAAACGGGACACTTAAGGAAATCTCAAGTTATTAACCCTAAAATAATGAAAAAAAAAAAATTTATTTTCTGAAAATGAAATGTCGTTAAAAAAATAATATTTTCTTATCGATAAGTCTACCGAAGAACCCACACAGATGAACAAGTAATTTTTGACGGGTTTCACTCGAGTTAAAATTAATATCAAGATATAAAAAAAAAAAAAACATTTTTTTTGACAATATTCTAGTTTTTGGATCTCCTGGTAGAAATTTTTTTAGACTTATAGTTTTCACGGAATTCTAAGCAATAGCACGAAAAAAAAGATTTGTGATTTTTTTGCTAGCTCTTTCTTGGTTTAGGGATTCAAGAACATTTTTCAGGCTGAATAGTCTTGTAGGACTGCAGACCTGTTTATCGGTCCTCAAAGTCAGTTTTATAAAGTTTCTTTACATCAATTTTTCGCGGAATTGTCTGACTCGATGAATAAAAATAATTTTTGTATTTTTAAATTGTGGTATCTTCATAACCACCAGTCTTACGAAAGTTAAAGGGCAGTTTTAGAAATTGAAATAAATTATCCACAAGATTTATTCATTACTACTATTAATGATAGTTTTTAACTATTAGTGAACGAATATATTTAACAAAATTTTGAAGTTATGTTAAAAAAAAATTTTTTGATTTTTAACTTCCCGCTAAGAAAATTGAAAATTTTCAAAAATCGGGAAGTTATTGGTTTCACCCCGTTTTGCGAAAATCGAGTTTTTATCAAATCTCGACGTTTTAAGGTCACAGGAAGCTTCCCTGACTATTCCTGCGATGGTGTCCGTGCGGCTGTATGTATGTATGTATGTATGTGTGTGTGTGTGTGTGTGTGTGTGTGTGTTTTTTT